ACCGGCGCCGCAGAGGCCGCGGGCAGCTTTGCAACCCAGCGCTCAACCGCTGCGCCACCGGGGAGGCCCAGGCCAGGAAACTTTTAAAAACACCATCTACATAGGCAGCCATTTGCTTCTCCAAGCCTCCCTTCTCTTCCATAGTCACTGTCATCACATAGACCAAGAGATAAAAACACCACCTGTGCTTTCAAGTCTTTCAGTGTGCTATCCAGAACTTTAAAATCATTAGGAATGTAGTCTCAATTTCTTCTGAATGTGCCATTTGTTCCACACAGGAAGCAGCAAATGTGGGGGACAAATCATGGTCTTGATAAAAGCTTCTTGGCAGATTCTCCATGATGTCTTGGATATTAGCTCCTACTCTCATTTTTCCACATCAAGTGTATAAAAAGTGACTGTCAGAATTCTTGGTTAGGAGTTATCCATAACATAAAACATTTTTCTTCTTCTTGAGAGTAGCCACAAGCCCACTCCCATCAGCTCACACTAGCAACTTCTCCTTAGTGCTTAAAGAATGGAAGGCCTGAATTCACCGCAGTGGGGAGACTGGCATACTAGATCCAAAGGGTAAGCTTGTCCTTCATTTCTCTGATGTCACATTCTTCTGCTTGCCCACTTCATGACACTAATTTCTCTGCATTCTCCTGCCTTTCTCACCATTTTTCCATCCTGCCTAAGTACTTTTCATCTTCTCTAAAAAGCTGGAGTGTGAAAAAGCATCTATTTTAGTTCTCCCACCTTTTCCCTCTGCTTGCAATTGCAGCTGCTATAATTGGTCACCATTTTGGGCAAGAAAAGAAAGATGAAACTTACTCCAAAGGTCACTCTACCATCCCCTTGGTAGGCATATATATTAGATCACCAACTGAACTAATGGTTTATCTTGTTACTTGAGAACCCTAAAAGAGCAAAGATTATGTCTTCTATCTCACTACAGAACTTCTTAAAGCATTAGAATATGTTTGCTGCATATTTTTCATTAGCTGGTAAGTTTCTCAAGACAGAATCTGGACATTTCTTTAAATTTTCCATCGTACCCACACAGAGACTTGATGAGACATGGAAACTAATGAGTCCTATAGTCCAACTTTGAGGGAACAGGTTTTCCACTGTATGAAATCTGTGTGGGTGATTTACTCTATTTGCTTGTAAAACTCTGGTAGGTTAGTAGATTAGGGTTAAGGTCATTGTTAAGTCCGTAAGAATGTTTCCCTCCATCTTCACCTTTAAAAAAAAATTATTTATACAAGAACTGGGGTACATGCCAGAGGTGAGGGAAGGTGAGAGGATTCACCAGAGACAGAGTGGGGAACAGAACCGCAGACTGACTAAATACATTGCTGAGGGGAGCAGCGGGCGAGACAGGAGAGGTCTGCATGCCATGTGGGTTTCTCCCTAGTAGGCTGGGAATCAAATCCACACTGCAGAGGCTGCAGACAGCTTCACAGTGTGGTGCTCAACCGCCTACGCTACCAGGGAGGCCCCATCTTTTTTAACCCCAAATCTCAGAATGATTTTTAAAAGTGTGTTCTATTTAAGTTTGAGGGAAAAAACAAACAAACAAAACAGGGGTCAGATAGGGAGACAAATAACCAGAGATTACCCAGTGAAGTTCTTATTTGTACCTATGTTTCTGTATTTCTTTTAAATCTTTCTTTAAATAGTCTATTCTTTGAAAAATGTTACATTAATGCTACTTAATGTGCTTCGCTACTGAACTAAGATTTGGTGCTTTGAGACTTTTGATAATATATATTTGAATGTAAATGCTTGCTAATATTTGACTGAACTATCAATAGTTTACAGAAAGTCTGGCTTTTCAGATAAGGAGGTCATAAAGCAGACCACTAACAGAGCAGGCACAGCTGCTTTCCAGTGCACCTGAGCAATCCCCTACTGTGTAATAGCATATATCTCAGGACAAAATTGTCTACACATTCATTCTTCCTCCTGGGTTGATATAGATACATGTATCCCCTGACAGCAACATTATTATGGAAGCATCTTATACTTGTTTATATTCTCAATGACATCTAATGTGTCACAAAAAATATATAAAGATAAAAAATTGTCTGATTTACTCTACAGCCTGAGTTATTTGATTTGATTATAGGCAACTTAAGTATCTACCCTATCTACCAGAAGGAGGAGAAATTCCTGCGAGTGTCCAGATCTTCTATTTAATCATAGACAATCTCAGTAGCTTGGACTAGAAAGACTTATAGAGATGTCCAGATGACTTGGACATCCCTGTCCCTGGACCCTCATAGCCAGGAGTCTTCCCAGCTAGGCTGTGGCGACTGACTCCATTCCTCATTCAGCTCAGCTTCTATGTAGGCTATTCTAAGAGTGCCATCTGCAGGACGAACTGAGGACTCAAATACTTAATTCATTTCTTTCAAATGATTGTGGATGAATTTGTTTAAAATGTTCTCAAGAGCTAACAAACACAAAATCTAAGTTAAATTTTAATGACAGTGAATTGTTACATTAATTCTTCACAGATATTTTTGTTATATTTATTTTAATACTAGCCTTGCTCCACAGAGTCACCACTGGTGAGAATCACAGATGCCCCCAACTGTCTCAAGAGTGGAGATGTATTTGTTCAGGGGATTTACACTGACCCTCAACCAATTTTTTCTGCTTTACGGCTTGCTGTTTCTTGCAGAAGGGCAAATTTCCAGGATCTGTAACAGATACAACAGCTCTCTTCCTGCTTTAAGATAATTTTAAAACCTGAATACAGAGAATCAGTGCACAGATTTCTCTTGCCAGGTCTGCCTTGGGTCCAAGAATCATAAACTCACAAAGTTGAAAGGAGTTCCTCTACAGAATCACGGCTATCTAGAGTACTGCTGGGAGGGATCACTCAGCCTCTTACTCCACACTGTGTGTAAAGTTCTTCCTGACCATATCTCATAGCCAGCAACCCAAACAACAAGGACAAGAGTTTCCACGCTTTGGCTTTCTGTCACTGACCTCTGACTAACTCAAGAATTGTCCAATTTCTGATTAAATTCACTCTCCTTCTCCCAGGCTCCCTCAGTTAATTGAGGACAGATGCTAGAAAGAAAGCGAACACCCTTTTCTGCTTAGAGCACCCCTTTTCTCAGTACTTGAGCATAATGTTCATGTTGCACAGAACAAAGTAGGTCTGCGGCAGAATGACCATCCACCTGCCTTTGCTGTGGTCAGAGATGATTTTCTTGTATGGATCACTAATTCCAAGATGCTGGGAAGTTCCACTGCCCATTTTCCCCAGAGTGGGGGTGAGGGAAGAAGTCAGGAATTAACTTCAGATGAGAACCATCGCTAGGGGCTTTTACAGGGCAATGCAGTCACCTTATGGCCACTTCTTAGTTACACACTTGTGGTGCACACCTGCTGATCTCTCTTTGAGGGGAAACATTCTTCCTAAAAGCAAGGAACTTTTGGAAGGTAGAAACTCTCTCACAAAAATACAGTTTTATCAAAAAGCAAAGAGAAGTGGATTATATCAAGAGATTACTCAGTGGAGGGTCGGGGAAAAGTAATAGATGATTAACAGGATGGCCACAGGAGCACCCCATGCCCATACTCTTGCTTTTTGTCCTTCACTTTCCCTGAGCAAACTGGCACTTGGAAATAAATTTTACATAGTTCCTATACTTCAATAAGGAGGAACAGCACAGAATTTGGGTAAGAATATGACTCGAGTCAGAGAAACCTGGACTTGGGTCCCAGCAGTCACTGACAAGCCAGATGACTTGGCCACTGCAGAACTTTCTGAGCCTTAGGGTCTTGGTCTATAAAACAAGGTGGCATCCTTCTAAGTGAGGCAGAACTGAGCCACAGGACAGCCAAAATACAGGAGCACCAAAGCTATGTGATAGGTTTATTCCAACAGACTGTCCCAAGTAGCGCCATCGCCATGCTCAGCAGACAGTAATTCATGTGACCTTCTCCCATCCTTTGCCTTCTAACAAATTGGAGAGGCTCCCAAACTCCCTAGCCCCCCAGGGATTTTGGACTATGCTACATCTTATCTACTAAAGGCACATTGGTCTTGTGTCTCCATTAGGTTGGCATAGTTCACCTTACTCTGCAGAAGGTCCTGTGGCTATGAGGTTTGCTTTTTGCTGGGGTGGTGATAAAATAAATATACATAACATAAAACTTACATTTTAATCATTTTTAAGTTCAGTGACATTAAGTACATTCATATTGCTGTACAATAATCACCATGCATCTCCAGAGTTCTTTATCTTCCAAAACTGAAACTCTGTACCCATTAAACAAAAACTTTCCAATCCTCCCCACTCCCAACTCCCCACCAGCACAACCATTCTACTTTCTGTTGCTATTATTTGACTATTCTAGATGCTTCACACAAGTGGAATCATACAGTATTTGTTCTTTTGTGACCTGCTTATTTCACATAGCACAATGTCTTCAAGGTTCATCCATATTACAGCAGGTTATTGATTTCCTTTCATTTAAAGACTGGATAATATTATTTATTCATATGTCAAAGATATCTGAGCTGCTTCTGCTGTGTGTCTATTGTGAATAATGCTGTTATGAACATGAATATATAAATATATGTTCAAATTCCTGCTTTCGTTTCTTCAGGTATATACCCAGAAGCAGGGTTGCTGCATCACATGCTAATTCTAAGTTTAATTTTCTGAGGATCTGCCATACTTTTTTTCACAATGGCTGTACCATTTTACATTCCCTCCAAAAATGCACAAAGATTTCACATGAGGCTTTCTTTCTTCCATAATCTGGGTCAGCTCCAGCTACCCTCCCTAGTTCAGGTCACTGCTGACACAGTCTTCCTGGGTCTTGCCAGGCCTCCCACTTTTCAGCAGCTAAGGTTTCCCTGCATCAGACAGGAAGGCATCCCAGAAGCCCCAGGTTATCAACCCAACACATCTCATCAAATACTAAGGCCATGGCCCTGGTCTCCCTCACCCAACACCACATACATCCAACCATACATGGTATCTTACCTGAGCCACCTCTTCAAAGTCATCATGCCTCTTTTGCAGGGCCCGGGCTCGATGCAGGGACTTCCCAACCCCAGTGTGTTTGCTGAGAAAGGCCTCACCATGGTTTTCAATCCAGTCCAACACCTGGGCAGAGAAAAAAGAAACAATGACATCCCCTTCCCAACCAGAAAACAGCTGTCCAGGTAGAAATGTTCAACCTATGATAAATAAAAGGGATTTCATTAATGTCACTGGCAATAATATTCCAGTAATTCCAATAATATTGAATTAAATAAATTCAACTCCGTTTTTTTTAAAAGATTTATTTATTTATTTATTTGTTTATTTATTTATACAAGGACTGGGTACAGTCAGAAGTGCGGGAGGGTGAGAGAATTCACCAGAGCCAGAGCGGGGAGCAGAGCAGGCAGAAGGACCGAAGTACACTGCTGAGGGGAGCAGCAGGCGGCAAGAGAAGTCTGCGCGCCATGTGGGACCCTCCTCCGGTGGCCGGGGAGCAGCCGGGGATTGAACTGGCGCTGCAGAGGCTGTGGGCAGCTTCGAAACCTAGCGTTCAACCACTGTGCCAAAGGGGAGGCCCTCAACTCTGTTTTTAATTAAATTTTTTTCTTACATCGCTATAGTTCCCATAGTTCGCCCACCACCATATCACCCGTGAACCATCACCATATCCTTTGTGTTCTTTCCTCCCCTATTTTGACACATCCCCTTTAGTGTATGCCTCAGATCTATGGTTAATGTGCTGATTTTGACATTTTTCTTGACCTTTTGTTTGGTTTCTCTATATTCCACATACAAGCGAGACCATCCAGTATTTATCTTTTTCTGTCTGATTAATTTTGGCTAGCATATTCCCTTCCAGCTCCATCCATGTTGCCATAAATGGTATGAGTTTGTCTATTTTGATCACTGAGTAATATTCCATTGTGTAAATTTACCACAACTTTTTGATCCATTCATCTATTTTGGGGCATTTGGGTTGTTTCCATATCTTGGCCATTGTAAATAGTGCTGCAATAAACACAGGAGTGCAGTCAACCCCAGCTCTTTGATTTCCAGAACATCCGCTCATTACTTTTCCAGTTTTCTCAGTCTTAATTAGTCCATTATTTTAAGCAAGCTTCACAGTTTAACCCCCTCACTCCCTTCTACCCTAACCACACAGTCAGACACACTGGAAGGAAATTAGGTGGTATCAGGGCAGGGCAATTTTGGGTTCTCATCATTTTGCTCATCCCTTACTTCACCATAACAATGCTCACAGGAGAGGTGGCCGGTCATGGGAACCCTGCCCCATTGTGTTCCTGGGGCTCCCTTCCTATTCTTGGACATAAAACTCAAGTAGCCAGTCCCCAACTGGAGCTGACAACTCCAGTTAAAAACAGTTGCCCTCTCTGGCTTCTTTCTACCTCTTTCCTCCAGTCAGCACCAACCAACCAACCAAATAAATGATGGTATCTATATCCCATGGCCTTTAATATCTGTGAGTCTCTTGGGAAGCAGTGGAGACTCCATGTACTTCCAGGCTTAAGATCTTGTGATTTGGTCTCAAGGTATTTTCTCATTGTGTACATAGGTTGAACAGAGGTTGCTGGAGCAGTAATGGGATGAGCGATGGAATGAGAAGGTAAGAAAATGTTGTCCTGAGAGGTATTTGACAGGGGGAGTGTAAACTCCTTAGTAAAAACCTTGAAATGCTGGGAGGACTAAAGCATTTTATATCTGTTTTGTATTTGCCCATGTGGCCTTACAAAAATATGTGCCTATGGAGAAGGGAAGCAGTTCATCTTCTAATCTCTGAAGAGCCAGCGCTCAATAAATCAGGTAGATACAATTAAATCAGAACTGGAGCATAGACACACCTGTTACAGATCCTGCCAAGGCTCCACTGAGTCTATTCCACTCCTGCTATACTAAACTTTAACTGAACTTTGATTAATGATGTACTAGCTTTCTTAGATTTTAAAGTTGACTTTTTAGAAAATGATTTAGATGATCTAGGCCTGTTTTAAAGGATACTTCAATTCATTCCTCTCTTTCCTCTACAGATTGCCCTGTGGCAGGCAGACGGATCCAGGACTGCAGACATGGGAGTTCTGGCTCTACAGAATCCAGGCTTTAGCTTCACTTCCTCTGACAGTTGAGATTATAAGGAGGTTTCACAAGTATTTTCTTAACAAAACCAATTCAGGTAATTGTCCATTCAAAAAAACAAAAAGACTTAAATATAGGACTATTTGAACATTAGATATAGATATTTTAAATATGTTATATAACAAATTCTGGAAATATACTTTTAACATTCTAGAGACATATCTGTAAAAAGGAGTTTCAGTAATAAGTGAACTAGATTTTTACCTTTTGAAAATATGAAAGGCAGCACTGAAAGGAACTCTAAACATGTTTCTCTAGAATTATTTATGGTGAAATTTCCACAAAAGAAATCAGGAGGGTGCATTTTCACTTGACTTGCCACAGTTTGCTCCTAGGGTTCTTTATTGTAAGGAGAAAGGTGAACATCAGCATATAAGGGCAAAGATAAATATCTCTAGGCACAAAGATCCCTATATATTGTATATAAAGGACAGTGCAGTTTTGTGATTTTATGCTCATTTAAACTTTCATTAATTGCCTTTTGAATATGAATTAGAGCTTGTGGATACTTTTTATATACAAAAGAACTTTTGTTCTTGTAGTTTCAAAAATGCTTTGAAATTTAAGTCAGATTTTTCAGATTGTAATTTTTTTTTAATTTGGTTTTGAGAATAAGTGTGACTTTCTAGCAATTTACAGAAACTGGCAATATTTTGCAATATTTTTGTGAATTTTATATTTTACACTATTTCATTTTTATAGTTTTAATATAACTGGTTATTCTAAAGCAGACTGGTTAAAAAGGAATATTGTTCATCCAGTAGTTCACAAATGGTTAGTTTTTATCTTCCCTGGGGGTGTTTCCCCAACTTTAAAACTTTTTTTATAAAGCAATGTTTCCTATTTAAATTATCTTGCTTTCTTTAAAAATGTCAATTCATTTTCCGTTAATAACACTCAGTTTACTTAATTAGCTCCACCTTAACCACTCAAAAACCTATTTATTTCATATTTGAGAGGCTTTTACTTAGTTTAAACATAACTTCGATTGCTCTGTGATGTTTTTTTGCCACCATTTAGTCCAACTACTGCCATTAAAGCTGAAGCTATGGGGAAAACATGTGCAGTCTCAATGAGGATGCAGGGACTGCATGGAAATCAATTTAACATAAAGTGCACATGATTAAGGAAGTGAACAAAATTACTTTAGTATACAAAGAAACTGAAAAAGTGCCCAAGGACAGATAAACATAATCACATATGAGGTACTGTTTAAATTGCTGATTTCTATTTTGTTTCAAAGTGTTCACTTAGAGTCAGTGTGACTTGATACTACATTTAGACCACAAGCTCTCTTGAACCTGATTCTTGAGCCTGATGTCCCCTGCAGGGTCATCCCCCACAAAAGGGCCAGGTAGACATTTCTCAACTGGCCCGGAGTAGACTCTTACCATCTTGGTATGGGAACTAGAGGTCAATCCAGGCCCTGGGAACCTCAAGAGGTTTGCTACCATTACTTAAAGAATGCAGATGATTTTGCTTAAAAGTAATGAGGGCCCTGAAGGTTAGGAGAAGCTTCAGTTCTTGCCTAAGTCCTTTGCTTTTCCATAATCAAAGAAGAAATCAATAGGTCCTAAGCTTTTGCTTTTTTCCTAGTTGAAGAAACACTCTCCCTCTTATGAACTAGAAAGAGTATAGCTTGGGGTCTCGTCCAGTTCTAGTTGATCAATAAATATATTCTCTGTCTACATAAGACAGAGCAAGAAGGAGCTCATCCTGTTCTTCTGGCTCATGTGAAGTCTCCCTTCTCTGTTCTTGATGCAATAAGTACTAAAATAAAGGATGACTATTTTCTGCTTGGCTCCATTATTCTTTAGAATTTATAACCATGTGAATTCTCCATATGTATGTTATTAAATTGATTGCTTTTCCTTTGTTAACACATCTGATGCAGTCTTGATTACTAATCCAGCCCAAGAAGAACCCAGATGTGTAAGGATGATTTTTGTGCCTGACACCCCCAACCCTTGGGAGTACAGATTCCCACATCGACTGCACATCAGAGAAACATGCTGCTGAGCAGACACCAGCAGTGCCTGACAATTATATTACACATTGTAAACTAATGTGCAACACTAGAAGTCTGGATGTCCCTCAGTTTCTGGTAAGTCCCAGACTCTGAACATCACTAAGTAAAAATCAGTTGTATTTTCAGGCACACCCTTGGCCTTACCAAAATGTAAGCTCTATCAAAGTATTCCCATTAGTTTTCTCTGTTTATCAAGCTATCACCAGCCACTGCAGCATGAGTTTGATTCCTGGCCAGGGTGCAACCCACATGGCACAGCAGACCTCTCCTGTCTCATCCACTGCTCCCCTCAGCAATGTATTTCGGTATATCTGCCTGTTCTGCTCCCCACTCTCTCTGGTGAATCCACTTACTCCAATACATATTTATTAGTTTTTTTTATGTTCTAGTGTCAGGCACTAGGATAGTCCAGGGTGCATTTAACAAGGTAAGCATGGTGCTGACTCTGGGAATTCAGTTCATGGGAGTAAAAAGCACTTGATGCAATTCATCATTAACTGCAATGATGACATGTGCCAACTCTCCAGTGCATCCTTGTTGGACGTCAGGAAGGCCTGAAGAAACCATATCCAGCTAAGATTTGAGAGACAACAGGATTTAACCAAGTTAGAAATTAATGAGAACAGCCTGACTTGAGGAGGGGTTAAACAGGAAATAGGCCCTGAGCAGTCAGGAATCAGATGGAGCTGAACCCTGGTGTGCTGAGTTAGATCCCAGTGTTCATCCTAGGAGCCACAGAAGAGCTGCAAAGACGAGAAAGACACCATCAGCTCTGTATTTTAATATCATTGCTCTGATGGCTTTGTGGAGAACCAAGTAGAGGAAGGCAAGGATAGAGGTGGAAAAACTGGAGGCTACTGCAGAAATCCTGACAAAAGGTGATGGTGGCTCAGTCGAGGCCAACAGCCGCGTCCACAGAGAAAGAGGTTTGAGTAGTATA